GCCCGGAGAACCCTCCAGCTGCTCTGCCCCAGGTGTCCCCAAGAGCAGCTGGGGTGCTGCTGGGTTGGTCTCACAGCCCCGAGGGGCAGCGCTACAGGACCAACCCGGCAACACCCCAGCTGCTCTGCCCCCCGCCTTCCCTGATTCAGCTGTTGGTCAGTTTCAGCAGCGGCTGAATCGAGGAAGCCGAGCACAGAGCAGCTCCAATTGTCTGGATGCCTGGAGCACTTCCAGGTTCCCGATGGTGCCGGACCATCAGGAGTGCCGGAGCACTGGATGCTGGACCAATGGAGTTTTACTGTATATTGGCCAAACTGGACAGTCCTGCCCCCCGCCTTCCCTGATTCAGCTGTTGGTCAGTTTCAGCAGCGGCTGAATCGAGGAAGCCGAGCACAGAGCAGCTCCAATTGTCTGGATGCCTGGAGCACTTCCAGGTTCCCGATGGTGCCGGACCATCAGGAGTGCCGGAGCACTGGATGCTGGACCAATGGAGTTTTACTGTATATTGGCCAAACTGGACAGTCTCTATGGGAAAGAATTAACGGACAAATCAGTTATTCAAAAAGGCAATAATACACAAAAACCTGTTGGAGAACACTTTAATATTCCTGGACACTCATTAATTGATCTCCAAAGTCGCCTTTTTGTTTCAAACCAATACCACAAGCCAAATACACAAAGAAGGATTAGAACTTAATTCACAAGTTTAATTCTTATGCAAATGGGCTGAATTGGGATATAGAGTGGCTCACATACTATCTTCCACCTTTTAATGACTTATCCAATCAACGGTGGTGCTAATAGTTCTTAAGAGCCTCTTGTAACTGTCTCTTTCTTCTTGCCCTCTCCTTTTTCCTCCCTTCCTCCCTTGCCTTCCCTTATTTATCCTTGGATCTGGACTTATTACACTCTGGTCATCTGAAGAAGTGGGTTTTGCCCACGAAAGTTCATGATACTATCTGCATGTTTTGTTAGTCTTTAAGGTGCTACTGGACTATTTGTTATTTTTTAAGTTTTTCCTATTACAGACTAACTTGGCTACCCCTCTGAACCATTTATAAAGGTTAGCATAGTATGGAACTATTTAAGTAGATATAAATTGTAACAAATGTATGTTTTTTATATAATGTCATGGAAGGGGGTAGAAGGAAGGCATGAAAAGAAAGAATGAGTGAAACCCAACATTTTCAGAGTTACAAAGACAAAATTTAGTTGCAACATTACTACAGATCAATTAATGTCAACATGATGTAAGTGAATAGTTTATACCTTGAGTGAAAAAGGATAAATATCTGGCTATCATGAATATAACATGATCTGAGAATTAAGCCTACGTGCATCACTAGTGAGAATTAAGTTAATCTCAACGAGTGAAGCAGCTTGCTAAAGTAGAATCACTACATTGCATATGTAAATGTTATGATCAATCTTAAGTATGGTGTAAATACTTACCATGCAAGCTTCTCTTGCGTGATGCACTGATGGATCCTTTTCTAGGACTGTTTTATAATCCTCCAGGGCTTCATCTAGTTTTTCTGTTTTTTCATACAGTTCTGCTCTCCTCAGCAGAGCCCTGATATAGTTAGGATCTAGTTCAATCGCTGGAAAATTAAAACAGAGTGATATGTTTTATGGAGTACTTCTATACTCCCTCAAATCAATGATCAAGTAAATACATAAAAACATCAACCATTAACTTCAAGATTTAGCATGCAGTTTTTATTTTTATTTATTAAAATCAAGTGTAGCACCAGTTTAATTTGAGATATTCTTATAGGGGGACTATTTACTACATTTGTAAGGGAAAGAATCAAAGAGGATTCTTTGCATCTGCATTGTCTATACTGGAAGTTTAATTCACACTGTTTTTGCATACTAACTGGAGAATATTAGACAGTATGCAATAATTGCATACATATGGTCAACTTCTCAGATTCATGGAAGCATGGATTTTATGCAAAGTAAGTGCGCAGAATTCTGAGCAGGCATCCCTTGGTACTCATTTCTGTGCTTTATGCATTCTGGAACTTCTCACTGCACTTATGGGATACACAGTAGAAGTCAGCTGGAAGGGACCTGGACTTGGGGTACTCTTTACATTATATATAATAATTATTCTGGAAACTTCAAATATATTGGCTTTGTAATATATTTTTCAGAGTACCATAAACACATGATCTGGAAGATAAAAGGATATCAGTTTTAGACAGAGAGAAGCCCTGAAGATGGAATTTTCTTCATCTAGTGGTATAAGTCAAATGTAACTCCACTGAAGTGTTTCTGAATCTACACTGATAACACACTAAATCTGGCTCAATTCCTATAAATGAATGGTTAGACTAACTCTAGAAACTACCAAAGAAACACTGATTCAATTTGTGCTTTTCCATCTCCTTATTCTCTTGACAGCCATGACTATGATTACAGGGGAAGCTGGGACTGAATGTTAAACAGTTTGCTTCTGTACAACAGTAACCTGCTAATAAGCATTCCCTCAAGACATTTCTCCACCCAGTTTTCAACACAGAAACAAGCAATGAAAAGCCAGGAAAAAAAATGTAATGCAAGCAATGCAGCCCAAAATATTCTCGTAAAACATAGCTGGTTTCTTCTTTTCAGTGGGACAAGGACAATGCTGCAGTCAGCAAGATGTAGAATGGTGTGAACTGCATTGCTATGCTCTAGGTGTTGCATTGCAGTTTGAGAGCCAATCCCCTAGAGACTGTCTAATGATGGTAAAGTTTAAATCTTGTAATATTACACAACTGATTGATTTCCTTTCATCCAATACAGAATTAGCCAAAGCATTAAAAAAAAAAAAAAAAATGAAGAAAGCTAAGTGGTACAAATATACTTGTAACACTTATAAAAATGATTATTGTATAAGCATTCAGCCACTGAATTTGTTCTCCGATTGGTAAGGCTGGACTTTTCTCTCAGCTGTCATAAAGAGACACACATCCAAGATCAGTCATCTGGGAATTTACATGTGGGTGGATGCAATAGCACACAGCTGAACAGATTTCATCAAGAGGTACCCCGATAAAACTAGGCCACACAAGAGAGCATGAGCTCAGCAATAATGTAAAAGACTTAGACAAAGGGATTTGGTAATGCCTTAATTCTAAGGGACCACAATTCCTTGCACTTCAAGGTTAAAACTCCTAAGATTTAAAGATCTGGGTTGTGCTTACGAGAGTAGGTGAAGAAAAAAGGGCAGCTTCATGTATAAAGATTTTGCTACTATCACACTGCAAACACTATTGTTATTTGCAATGGAGAAAGGATATTTCAGACAGTAAAAGCCTGACTTGTAAAGTTAATCTAAGATTCCTGCTCCTTTCACCATCACCTTCCTTGGAGTTATTTTAAAAAATGCTGCATTATGCAGCCCTACTGACTAGCATGATTTCTGAACCAGTGACACTGCACAAGAGCAGCATGTTCAGAATCAGGAAAAAGGATCGTACCTTTACTGCAGTCTGTCAGGGCAGCTTCTGTCTTGTCCTAAAACCAAATCAATAATGTTAATTTTGTTTACTTAATTTCTAGTGATATAACTGAATACATACTTGTAAGTGCCAGCAGGGACTCTATACATTTAGAGAGAGTAGGATACCCATTAAAACCCTTAGACTTCTCTAGCGTAAAGCTAATACGATACAAGACAGAAAGATACCAGCTTTCTGTGACAGCAGCTAGTGTCAGAGTCATCCTGTGATGTTGAGTCATGTGACTGCATACTCATCTAATTTGCACTCAGCAGCAGCTCCCACAAAGCAGTGTGTAAAAGGCTGAAACACTCTTGCAGGCCTCTATTCAACTGAAGTGTCTACTGCACTTCTCCCCACAACTGGGATCTGGTCCAGCTGCTTGGAGCTGAAAGGAGAGGCCCACACTTCCCCCATACCATACTCCCAACTCAATCCCTTGCTATCTTCATTCATATACAATGATCTCCCAAAAGCAATGCAGGAGACATCTTCAAGTGAAAAGGACTATATTTTAGTGAACATTTGCTTTGCCTTAACCTGCAATGAGATATGAGAGGGTATGCAATAATGGAAGTAACAGAGACTGAGAATGAGATACAATGTCACAAGGAGGAAGGAGAAAATTTGTTCCTCTTGGTTTCTGAGGACAGGACAAGGAGTAATGGGCTTAAAGTGCAGCAGGGGAGGTTTAGATTGGACATTAGGAAAAAATTCCTAACTGTCAGGGTGGTCAAATATTGGAATAAATTGCCAAGGGAGGTGGTGGAATCTCCCTCTCTGGAGATATTTAAGAACAGGTTAGATAGACATCTGTCAGGGATGGTGTAGACGGAGCTTGATCCTGCCTTGAGGGCGGGGGGCTGGACTCGATGACCTCTCGAGGTCCCTTCCAGTCCTATTATTCTATGATTCTATGAATGCAAGAGAGGATGGCTGCTCAGTGTTTTTTTCCCCCTAAGGCACCAGCTGGTCTTTCAAGAAATGTCTGATTAAAATACCTGGTGAATAAACATATCTATAGTAGGCAGAACTTAAAAAATTACTGACCATAAGCTATTGTGCAGGTCCTTTAAAACAAGGATACTTCACATCTCTAGGCTTAGCCTAACCAAAAGCTGTAATTCTATAAGGAGCCAACTAACTCATTCCCCGATATACTTTGGCAGTTACTGGTTTAGATCCCCAGTGATGTGAATTATTAACATCTGGATTTTGAGGATATTTTTCTGTTTATATGCTCTGATAACATTCATGCTGGAGAGGATATTGCAGCAGTTGCTTAGAGAATCTCATTTCACAGAAGTAGTCTTGGTGGTTCTATTGAGCAAAACCATTCTGCTAACTTTCTGGCACTTACTATCAGCTATACGACAGAATAATCTTAATATTAGAAACTGTCACAATGTTTTCTATCCCCAAGTCTGTCCCTGTGTGGTGAACAGTCAGGCAAGTTCTCTCTCTGGTATTGTAAACAACTGATGGGGACGAGGAGAAGGAGGGAAAAATGTGTCTCTATTTAGAATACATTTAAAAAGTAACAGAAGGAGATATTGCTTTCTACTATTAAATTCTTGATTCCACTTCTTTAGCAGCCAGTTTATTAAGCAACATACCTATGGCTTGTATAGAAACGGTGTAGAAAATGTGTATGCTTTTCTATGACGCCTTAAACTAGGGATGTTAACTGATATTTAATTGAACAGTCAATGAATCTCATGAATTCTTATCAGTTACTCAACTATTCTATAGTCGCCAGAGTTGACACCGGCAGCGAGTGCGCTGCGGCCCCACTCCTGAGGAGCCCCTTGCCACTCTGCACTGCTGCCTCTGTATCAATTCAATCTGTACTGACTTCCCGAGTCTTTTCATGTAGCTTGTTGTAAAACTAGGCAAGCTTATTCACTGACTCTTATTTTCAAAATACTTGGAAAGTACATTCACCTGTTTCATTCTTGCAGCAGCTCTGTTTGAAAACAAAACAGACCTGTCTTTCTGGTAGCAGGCTGGGCAAACTTGTACAGCTTTTGTATAGGAGTCTTCTGCTTCCCCATATTCTGAAGATTGAAGAGAGAAAAAAAACAAAAAAAAACCATGTTCATTTAATTTGCTGGTAGAATTAGTGAGTGACATATAGCTTAACATCTCTGGAAAAACATTCCTCAATATCTGAAGCAACACCAGTTTTATACTAAAAGCAAGACTCTGTTGCTCTCAGAAAAAGTGTCTTGCTAAATTAATATATGTACCGATGGCAATAGTTTTGTCATTTTAAACCAGCAACTATTACCTAGTTAAAATGCCAAAACCTTGTCCCAATGCTATTATTTCTAGTCTTGTGCCACTTCCAAACTTTATATTTCTCTTTTTAACTTCAAAGAAAATGTAATCTCAACATAAAAACATTTTTTCTTTAAATGAAGCCTCCCCATTACTGATTTAAAAGTCACATGACATCTAGGCTGTGAGGTGCTGATAAGCAACTTGATATGATGAGAGATGCTAAACCTATTTAAAGAACAGTTCTTCTCTAGCTAATGCCTTGAAGACACACCTGTACCCAAGCTTAACAGAGCAAGGGGCAAGTGAAGGAAGAAGATGCTTGTTATAAATAACTGTTTACTTTTTGAAAAGTTAAGGACACAGAAGAGTAGTTTTTTTCTCCTCTCCTGTACCTTCCAGCAATACATTTTCCTTACCTATTATGTCACAAAATTTCTATCCTCCAGAATAGAAAGTTTTCTCTAGTGAGCTATGCTGGAAGCAAGCAACCATATCATTCAGCGATGGGCAACTACGTTACTGAGAGGGCCACATGAGTGCCACTGTCATTGCAATTAGACGCAAGATTGAATGCAGAGGGAGCATACGGCTCTCACAGTCAATGTTGTGTGCAATCAGTATGCATCATTTCACATGCCCTTGCTTTACATACGTGTCATTTTAGTATTTTTTCCTACCAGTGTTACTATGTACACGGAAACCAGCAAATTCTGGCAACCTTGCGCATGGGCAATGGTAAGCCAAATGTCTCGCGGGCCACACATAGAACCCCAAAGGGCCCCACACAGCCCACCATTAATCTAATTGTTGGCAAGTATCCATTTCCCTGGGATCATTTCTCTAAGTAAATTTATACTTGCGTTTGGTGTGCATTCCACTAAGTACTTTTTAGTCTCTAGTGTCTATGCTGATGGTTTTGACGGAGGGGAAACGAGATTCAGGGATGGTGAAGTATGTGTATATATAAAAATAAATACACACACACACACACACACACACAGAGCCCCACACCTTTGTGCTTACCACAATATCTAACTGCGGACTTAAGTAATCATTAATTTCAGAATTTATTTTGTTAAAAGAACATTAACCCACCTCCTTCCTTAAACTGCTTGTTTCCTTTTTCCTTTAATGTTGTGCTCTCCTTCCTTCTTTTCTGCAAAAGATCAGAGAACTACACAGTGTCTCACAGTATTTAACAGAAATGAATAAGTAGGTCAGCTGCAGTTCTGTATTACTACGAAATGAAGTCCAATGAAATGAAATCAAATAAGAGTGAAAAGTAACCAGGGAGAATCGGACAGCTACAAAGGTGTTTTTCCTGTATCCTGTTAATTTACTATACAGGCAGTCCCCGGGTTACATGGATCCGACTTACATCGGATCCCTACTTACAAACGGGGTGAGGCAACCCCGCACTAGCTGCTTCCCCCCAGCAGACCAGGGAGACGCAAAGCTAGCGCCCCACCCAGCAGACCAGGGAGATGGGGAGCGGCTTTTCTCAGCAGACACCTCAGCTTGAGAATAAAGGACTGAGGGAAGTGAGGTGTGGGAGAATAAAACTGAGCTTTGGAGAAATGTTTGGCTAGAGTGTCCCCTACAATATGTACCAGTTCCGACTTACATACAAATTCAACTTAAGAACAAACCTACAGTCCCTATCTTGTACGTAACCCAGGGACTACCTGTATATATGTTGGCTGTATTGTCACACTGAATAGGGGCATAAAAGGCTACGATATATAAACTAAAATATATACAAAGAACATTTGAAAAATATGTTTATAAAAGTCTGCATTTTGGTATTTACTATTTGCTGCTTCTTTGGGGGCAACAGTATTTTCAGTGCCATTTAATTTCATTCCATTCAAACTGGTGCATAAGACATGCCTAGACAGCAAAATCCTGTAAGTTATAGTTTGAGACATCTTGCCCAGGAAATTTATAATCAGATGGCTGTGAAGCCTGACGAGGAGGGTCCAATATCAAATGCATGCAGAAAGTGCATTTAAAATGTAGCAGAGATAACAGATTAGTCCAAATGTGATACTGTTGTCATGGAATAGATTTATTATGAAAAAGATTATTTTCTTATGAGCAACTAAATGCTGAAAAACATGTCATTGATACAATTAAAGGCATTTCTTGTCCTAGTAAGCCTACCTTCTCCTTGTATCTCAGTGGTCCCCAACGTTTTGGGACTGCCGGGCGCCTGGGGGCGGGGCCGCTCATGCACTGCGCGTACGGGGGCGGGGTCGCTCACAGGCCACGTGACTGGGGGCGGGGCCAAGCATGCGCCACACGCCCGAGGTCGGCACCGGCTGCCCAGGTTCCGCGGGGCCGGCAGGGGGGCACCCGGGGCCAGCCATGCACCCGGGGCTGGCACCTGCAGCATGCCTGGGGGCGGGGCCAGCCCAGATTGCTCCGCGGGAGCACGTAAAGGGCCCGGCGGGCGCCATGGCGCCCGCGGGCACTGGGTTGGGGACCACGGTTGTATCTCTTAGCACTGCTCAAGATGACTAAACAACCATCAAACTCAAAAGCTGGGAGAAGTTTCCAGTAGATGGTGAAAATGACAGGTGTTTTCAACCATGAATATTTTTACAGCACTGTTGACATACGTGATTGGCATGAATGCCTTTATCTATCATTGCAAATACAAAAGGATGCAACCAAACCATCTCCAAATGATCAGTAAGAAATACTTCACACACAAATATAGCTCATGGAAACAAAAAACAAAATATCATAAGGTAAGGATACAAGACAACTGAGATTCAAGAGACAAAGTGCAGCTCCTTATAATCTGAGGCAAGCGATCATTTTGACCACTGATTTCTCATTCTCACGTGCATGCACACACAAATACACATAGAGTGCTCAAATTGAAAGCTTATAAACTACAACTCATTGAGTGATTTAAAAGCCAATACTGGAGAAAGGAGTAGTTTCCTTCCTTGCAGATTGTGTAAATCGAGGATTAATATATTATCAATATACTGCAGTACATCTCCTTGGAAACAGCTAAATATAGTAGTTAGTGTAGAAAGCTGCATCGTTTCACAGCTGTGCCAAGAAGCAGACTCAAACCCAATAGAAAGAGAGGGGCTCTTTCTACTATCTGCTTTCCCTTGGAAAACAGTTCTCAACCACCAACACTCCAATGATAATCCAAAAGCCACACCAGTTTTCACAGAGCAGACTTAGGGGAACACCATACAGTTTTCAAATCACAAATAAGTTCACACTCATCAATGATGCGTGCTCCCCAATGTTCTACTTTGCCATTTACAAGCCCTGTGCACAGTGAGATACTAAAAGTACTGCTCATCATCCAATCACCTGCATTATCTTTCAAAGGTCCATACTGGAGAAATGCCAGGTATGCACAAGGTCTTGTGCAGCACTCAAGCATGAATGCAAGGTGAACAATTGGGCACTTAAAGTAAGTTGGCACATAACTGTATACAGTAAATCCTTTTCTACTTCAGGACTCGGCTGGCCTATTTAGACAACTACTTCTGAAGGCTGAATCCTGTCGGAAGGGAATGCTAAAGGAACAGCAGCATATGCAAGGTCTTTTCCTGATGTATGGATGCTGAATAGAAGAGAAAGATATATTCTCTACTGTTCATGCTTCTCACAGAGATTTTACAAAAGTCAACAAAGTGCAGGTTGAACTTCTCTAGTTCGGCCAACACTTCCACTACTTACTGGGCTCTTAGAACATAATATAGTGGTAAATTAGAACTAAATAACAGCACAGAACACAGAGCCAGGACTGGTGGCTGTAAACAAACTTTATGGAACAGCAGGAAACTTGGCCATACCCATGGTAAGCGGACATCCAGCTAACTATAATCATGCTGGACCATGGATGTTGCCAGACCATAGACTGCCGGACTAGAGAGGTTAAACCTGTAGTCAGGAATCAGTATATAATAAGCCAACAATATTTGGCTCTAAACTTCACAATTAGAAGGCAATGACCATGCTGGAAAACATGAAGCTGTATGCTTCCTGCTTTTTAAACTGTGCTTCCCGCTCAGATGAGTAACAACTGCAAAGTGACTAGTCATCACATCAAAACTGTTTTGAGTCCCATCAATTTTCTTTCCTTGTAAAGGGAAAAAATTGGTAGTGACTTGTCCTTGGGACACATTTTGCAGAACGTCATCCCACTGCCTTATTTTCAGAGTAAGACTCTAGCAGTTTCAGGGTAGCTTGCTTGCCTGTTCTTCAATCTGTAACAGAAGTGGGTCAGAATGGACTTTCAGAATGCTCTATTTGGGGAAGGGTGGGAAACAGAAGGAGAAAAAAAACCATATCATGACACCTTGTTTTTTCTGAGAGTTTATTAATATGATCACTAAATCAGGTATAACTGTTCTGACTTGCACTCTATTAGGTTATTCATAAAAGAGTAATCCAAAGAAAGCCTATGAACAGGGAAATTTATGAACCATATCAAATTAATTGGACTTCTCAACTTAGAAAAGAGGTGACTAAGAAGGGATATCACAGAAGCCTATAAAATCATGACTGGTGTGGAAAAAGTAAATAAGAAAAAGTTATTTACTTGTTCCTATAAGATAAGAACTAAGGGTCACCAAATGAAATTAATAGGTAACAGGTTTAAAACAAACAAAAGGAAGTTTTTCTTCAAGAAGTGCACAGTCATCCCGTGGAACTCCTTTCCAGAGGATGTTGTGAAGACTAGGACTTTAACAGGGTTCATAAAAGAGCTAGATACATTCATGGAGGTTAGGTCCATCAATGGCTATTAGCCAGAATGGGTAGGAGTGGTGTCCCTAACCTCTGTCTGGAAATGGATGATAAGAGAGGGATCACATGATGATTACCTGTTGTTTTTACTCCCTCTGGGACACCTAGCATTGGCCACTGTCGACAGACAGAATACTGGGTTAGATGGACCTTTGGTCTGACCCAGTATGGTCATTCTTATGGTTTTATGTTCTAATATACCAGTGACAGGAATTTATTTTTTTGGATTCATGAACTGAGATTTAAAAGAATAAAAGCCATTAAGGATATTAAGTTACTTCTTACAAACTAATCAACTGATCCTTATGTTATGATCAAAGAAAGCCTCTCACTAAGAAAACTGAAATGGGAACTGAAAAGTAGTTATTATGGTTCAAGTTTTAAAGGCATTAGAATCACAGTCTAAACCGGTGTGGGAATCGGCAAAAGGGAGACTGAAAATTAAAAGACTGATCCAGAGAAATGGGAAAAAGGTAACTAGGTTTCCTGACAAAAAGAGTATAAAGTCCAAGGGAAAGGCCATCAAAGTAAAGTTGTATGAACTTCACTATTTTTTTAAACAAAAAACAGATAGATATGCAAAGTAAGCAAGTTTGCTGTTGAAAGAAAACAACTGATGCTTCTTTAATCTATAGGGGTCAGATTTACAGCATGAGAAGCTAAATCCCTACATTTATCCTTCAACTGTCACAGTTAGTAGGCACCTGCCTTGCCAAATTACAATACTCCCCACTCAGCAATACTCTACTTCTTTCACTGAATTCCCTTTGTTTTTTCTTACATATTTTATTGGAGGGATTGCTTTCTCCTTGCTAGTGTACTATACTTGGATCCATTTTTGACAAAGGCACAAAAAGAGCATGTGTTCTGCCTCTCCTCGCTTAGAGGCTATTTATACAATATGAAAATACATCTTTGGGTCTAACGCACTCTCTGGTAAGAACATGAAGAAGTAAATTGCTAACACAGAATGAGATTCTATCAGCAAAGGATATATAAAATACATAGTTTCTCAGCCTCAAATTCTATTTCCTGATTATAAATCAGTATTTAGCAGCTGTCTGCTTCCACCTGCAGTCTTATAAAGTCATTGCTGTGTCATATCCAAGCATCTGAATTTCACCATAGATGTATGGTACACAGGTCAATCACAAGGCTTACTGCAGTTATCAGCTGTGTTCCCTCTAAGATTTTCCATCCATGAGTGAAGCAAGTTTTGTCTTGTGCGCCAATACTGATGTCATGTGAGCTTGTTTGGATGTGTGCCATCGTGGCACCCATCAGTTACTAACAATACATATATTGTTACTGCTAGCTGTGTAACAGGGCAGAAGAAGGGGCAAGAGCTAATGTATCGCACAGTAACTGCCA